TCTGGCAAAAACTTTGAGTCATGTAACCGGCTTGGTTTGCTATCTCTTCATCCAATTCATCCTCTCTCCCTCTTTCCCTTGTTTTACTGCTACATTCTTGAATACCAGAATCCTGATTTTTTTTAAACTTTTGTTTAAGTCTCATCCCATTATTCCTTTGAAGCCCCATGACCATAGAACTATATCTTTAACCTATTCTAAAATAATTTGTTAAGGGACTCACAAATGCCTTGAATAAGTTAAACAGGAAGGAAGCTGGAATCACTTTCTATTTCCTCACCTACAGACAATAAAATAATTTACTTTGGTGGGCTTCTAATGACTCTATGTTGTCCCATCTATCAAATGAGTTTATTAATTGTCTGATAAGAATTGAAGAAAATGGAAAAACAATAAGCAAAAAACATTGGACACCCATAATTGTTTCTCTCTTGTTCTTTCTGTTCTGATGTTGTAGAATGCCATACATGTGTGTTTGATTACTGAATAGCAAACACATCAAAACCTGCTACACTGGGCCATTAATTGGCCACCTTTTGAGAATAGTGCTGGTTATTCTCCTGGATAAGCTTCTAGGTTGCCCTCCTGCGTTTTGGAGAAAGAATGGTAGAGATCTAGGAGATCTTGAATTTACTCTGAAGTTTAAAACCTAATGCTCAGAGCAAGGATGTAGATTTAAACAACAGAAGTGGACCCGAGCCTTAATTGGGTAAAGCAGAAGATCAAAGGTTGTGTAAAATTTACTGTTGACACCACAAATGACCACAGTAATCATCCATGAGAATGAGAGCTAGTTAAGCCTCATACAAAAACAAATCTAGGAGGGAGGGGCTCAGATCTTTAGAATAATCCATACTAACCAGTTTTTATTTCATTTCTATGCTTGTCTGATCTTAGAAAATATACCTTACTTAATCCCTAGCTTAAATCAGGAGGACTCTAANAAAATCTGAGGCTTGAGGAGATATAAAATATTTAGAGAGTGAATGAATGAATGTGCTCAGGAAGTACAGTGGATTTGCAATCAAAGTAAGTGATTGAGCCCAATGCCTGGTACATTGCAAGGACTCAATTTTTGTGAGTAGTTCTATTATTACCTTCATCCACATTTTTTGCAGCCACTTCTGGTGTGTACCTTCCACTTACATTAGACATCTAAGCAACTACATGCTTTGTGGTTTTCCTTTCATTATTCTTCAGAGGTGAAGGGCCCTTTCTCCTTTTTATTCATTGACTGAACCCTTGCACCTTCTTCAAGTTGCAATTCAAAATTCTTTCACAGTGAAACATTTTTTGTTCCCCCTTAATGACAATTAATTTCCATTTTCTTTTCATTTTTTTATTGCAAGAAAAGTGAAATTTATTAACATAAGTTATTTTATACCATTACTGTAGTGGATTGAATTATGTCCCCCCCAAACTGCCTGAAGCTTGAATTGTGTCCGCCAAGTTTTATGTATTAGAAACTTACCCTCACTGTCACTGTTAAGAGGATGGGAAATCCTATTATGGTAATTGAAAGGTGGAGAACTGAAGAGGTGATTGGATTGTAGGACTGTGCTGTAGCGAATGGATTAAAAATGGTGGTCAGGGGA